CTTTCTTCTTCTGGGAAGCTTTACCTCAGAATGACTAATGAGCTACTAGGGAGCTGAAGTGTGCGGGGCATTAATATTTAACACACTTCCAAGAAGTGTTTATTTCTGTCCCTTGGCCTCTCAATAAAGCAACAACCCAACACACTGAGGTTGTGCCATGTTGTGTGCTGCAAGTGTGTTGTGTGCTGTGCTTACCTCTGTTACTTCTCATGCGTGTGGATCTGATTGGAGACCCCAGTACAGTGCATGCCCGTCCAGTTGAAACAAAACTCTGCATATAGATGAAATCTCCCCAGGGGAAGATGGTTTGACCTTAGCTCAGTGAGGCTTCAGTAATTAGGATCTCTGCTCACACAGACACTTTTCTGACTGCCCCTTTTCTCTAAATGTCAGGGAGGTAGCTACAGAACACTTGTACTCAGTGTTTTAGCTTCATGTAAAACCTGTAGGGAAACATGATGTTTTGATGCCACCAGGGATGTTCAGTTATTGTTTTAGTGTGAACCCAGAATTGGCGACAATTGTTCCCCCATGTTTACGTCCGAGAGGTGTGTGGGAGCCTGGCTGGGAGGAGGTGAACTCACAGCCGCAGAAAGGCACCGATTTGCTGTCTGAGAGGTCGCTGCAGTGCTGCAGAGCTTGGCATTGATTGCTAAATAAATTTACTCCTAAATCTTTTTCATCCCCCAGACAGAGACCTTGGTGATACGGCACCCACGGATGTTAGGATCCTCTTATATGAAAGCAGATTTTATTGAGATGATTTTAATTCATAGAGGAGTAATCAAGCCTTTGAGTTATACCTGAAGTATCTATCAAAGTGCAGATAAGTATTGTGTTTGGCAGTTATGTTTTGAATGGTTACAGTTCGTCCTGTCACTTGATTCGATCACCCTGTCATGAGTGTAACGCTTCTTTCAGATGTGGACTTAATGTGGTTGCTGAATTGTTGTGCTGGGAGTTAACCCCAGGGTCCAGGTTAAACTCCACTCTGGGCTTGTTCAGTCTGGCCTCCCAGTCGTTTACCCTTGTTCAGCTGGTGTGGCAGTTTCAGGTCAGGAGTTCTATGTAAATACTGAATTTTAAAACGAGTGTCTGAAGCCTTTTACATCAGTTTTGTTCATCCCCAGGCAGTGTGGATTTTGTAAAGATGTGTCTAACAGCTCTACCATGGCTAAAAAAGTAGTTGAAACCTTGAATATTGTTTTATCTAAATAATATATATAAATATTACTAGCAGTGTTGGGTTTGAAGGTGTTCTTTTACTGACGGAGCACTGCGCCCTTTTGTTTCACGTTTCCCAGTGCTCAGAAAGCTGACCCTGGACATGGGCTGATGTAACTCTAGCTCGGCAGTTACGGGTGTCACTGATGTGTAGGTGCCCGCCTGAGCACCAGCCTGCCCGGAGTTGTGCTCCTATGGGGAGAAAGGGTCTGTGTGGGCTCACAACACTCTTCCCATGATGAATGTGCTCGCAGCCATTGCTGTAGGTCATTCCCATATCTAAATTTAACTTTTCTAGGCCAACAAAATGAATTTCTTTAACCTCTGGATCACAATTTCTTGAGGGACTGAAAACCTTGGTTCAATGTCATTTTTTTTCAAGCTGCTTTCCATTTTAGTTCTTTTTGGGGAGTGTGTAGTCTAGTTTCCTTTATCTTTTCAGGCGTCTGTCCTGGGTGTTAGAGCAGACAATAGTGTGTGGTTAAGATGTATACAGTAGCTTTTATCATCAGTGATTTTGTTTGTGTCCTGTTTTTGTAAGCTTTGTACTGTGAGAAACCACCTCTCTAATCCAAGGTAAACTGAATATTAGTGTCGTAGCTTTTTACTGTACAGGAGACATTGAGACATTATCTACTGAATTTTGGCTGTGGTGTCAACAAAGGCCGGTATTTGTTTTGTCCCCTGGTATGTTGCCATCAGTTGTGTCAACTTTTATTTAAGCCGTGATTGATGAGGATCTGGAAAAATGACAACAAATTAATCTTTCTGACAGATTATCCTTTGTCCTTGCTGCCTGGCTCTCATTGCTGGGGGATTCATATATTTAGCGAATTGGGAAGAGAAAGCATTGCATGTACTGTAGGTGGATTTCCTGCAGAGCTTGGTGCATCGAGGGACAGTGCAGCAGATGGTCCTGGCCCTTGGAGTATTTGTACGTCTTTGTGTAAAATCCAAATTTAAGAGTGCTTCTTGTTTTCTTCGGTTTTCATGCAAACTATCTGTTTGGCTGCAAAGCTTTAGTAGGGCAGGCAAATCAAGTCCCGTTGAATCTATTTAAAAGGCTTGCATTAACAAAACCTAAAAAATAGCAATGAAATGCTGAAGAAGACCATTACAAGACTGCTGTGATGTTCTTCCAAGGAGCGTGAAACTGAGGTCCTGACTTCTTGGTGATTAAAGATCATCGGAGTAGTGGTGTTACCCCTGGTGTCCTGGCTAGCTTCCACTCTGCACCTGCACAGCCTGGCCCCTTAGTGCACCTGGTGGTCCAGTTTCTCACTCCTCTGCCTGTTCTGTTGTCACCCAGGTGGAGCTGCTATTCACTGGAGAACACAAAACTTTTGCAGAACATGGAAAAGGCGTTAGTTGGACCAGTAGGGGTACTCACTCTGCAGTTCGTGTGGGTCCTAATTCCCCAGTGTAGCGATTGGGACACTATACTGTAAATAGGTGCTGTCCTTCTGATGAGACGTAAAATCGAGGTCCTGACTCTACCAGTGGCCAAAATGGCCAGGACACCTTCATCACTCTGCTCTCCTCCCCACTGATCACTGGTGTGTGGGGAGTGTACTGGCACACTCTGGCTGCCATCGCATCTTCCAGGTGGGGCTGTACACTGTAGATGGAGGGGATCTCCATTACCTGTAAAGCACTTTGAGAGGAGTGTCCAGAAAAGTGCTATATAAGTGTAAGCAATTATTGTTATATTTCTATTTACACATTTTTCAAAGGCTAGGAATGAGGAATGAATTGACACTTTCTCTGACTCCCTAAAGCAGGAAAGAACTGTTTCTTTGGTCAAGATCATGTCCAGTAATGAATAGGAACGATTTTGAATTAATACTTAATGTGTCAAAGTTTATCACCATCATAGACAGTTTATGAGAGATAGTGTAATACAGTATTGTTTTGCGTAATCGGAGTAAGGTACCAGGGATGAGGACCTGTAAGGTCAGCCACAATGTGCTGAAGGAGAAATGGCAAAACCCAGAAAATGCAAGCATAAGGTCAAGGTATGACCATTCCAAAGGCTGACTGCCTGGAATCTGTATTAAAATTTGCTGTCAAGCTTCTACACAGAATCGTGAGGTGCAGTTACAGTGGATGTTACACTAGTGTCTAACACATTTGAAAGATAATGTTCCGAGACTGTTACACCACGCCCCTGGAGGGCTCGTCATTCCACCTCGCATTCCAGCATGGTTTCCAATTAGACCATTTACTCCAGCCTATTTAATGCTGCTTCACACTCTCACCTGTGCTCAGTATGACATTTTCCTGGCTAGAGCTACCCCGGTCTTCCTGCGATTAGTTACATCTTGGTTTGTGGCTTCCTGACCCTGGTTTGTTCTATGTCTCCTGGTTTTGTTTTGGTACTTTGATTATCGTTCTTGCTTCGACTCTCAGCTTCCTCACGGCTCACAGCTCCGCTTCTGATTCTGGACTTTTTTACCGGTTTGTTTTTTCCTTCGGCTTTTGGACCTTGGCCTGTTTAATAGACTACGCCTCTGGAGTCCGTCCTGATTTTTCTGCATAGGGTCCTCATTAATCTTCCGTAACAGAGACTTTCACTTTGTTTTGAAGTGTATGAGGTGGAATTCATTACTCAATCTCTGATATCTTCAATTCCCTCATTTAGTATCACTACCTTATAAAATCATTGAATAGGTCAGATATCTTGTGTGTTGCAGAGGATTTTCTGAACAAAGCTTTTTTATTAAGCAGAATTCTCTTTTATACTGTTGTCAAATAATGTTTTCATTATGGGAAGGGTGAAAACGAATTCATTAAACCATCAGGTCAAAGTGTATCAATGGTTTACAAGTTTGCTGTTGTACAGTAGTCTTCACAACTTGTTGTAATTCAGACCTTATTTTATAACAAAAGGGTTACTGGTTTGTTTTTTATACTAAAGATGAGGCCGCAAAGTGTTTTTGTGACGGGCATTCTTGACATCCACAGTGCATCACGACTAACAGGCATTGAAGAAAACATGAGCTTTGACATGAGGAATGGACTAGTCGGTCCTCTGAATTTCAGCTTGTTTTGTAGAAGCAGAATTCACACTAAAAGGAAGAAAGATTTTCATTTTTGTCGACTCATTGTGTGATATCGTCCATTATTCACCAGATCTTCATGGTTTTTAAGGTCTGTGCTCTTGGTTCATTCTACATTACTTGTCAGAGCCTACATGTCCTCATTCCCGAGACAGAAATGTAAACTGTCAAGACTGCTTTGAGAGTGTGCACTTTATTGACCTTTGAACTGGATCAATAAAACACCCTCACTGAGGCAAAAACATCTCTGGCTGCAGAAGGCCTTCCGGTGAACTGGGGGGAGGCGTGCTGGTTAGTTCTGCAGGCTGGTCTGCGCTGGTCTGCTGATGGAGACGATTTTGCCAGGCTGGTGTGGTTGGAGAGTTGCTGGGGGAGCGCCCATACCCTGCGCTCTGACTGCAGTGGGACACGTGGTGCGGGGCGGCTGTGGCCGTCTTGTCTGTTGCCAGACTGCGTGAAGGAGTCCCGACTAGTTGGACCGAAGACAGATGCTCACCCTGGTTTTGGGGGCTGTTGACCTTCCTCTGCTTTCATGTCGCTCTTCTGTTTCTCTGCTCCACTTGTGCCACGCACCCGTGAGGTGCCGTCTTTTTTTAATTTGCCTTTATTCTTTTGTTCGACTGATCTTTTTATTTATGCCTGCATTCTCTCGCCTCCTCCCCTCCCTCCTGCCTCCCCCCCCGCCTCTGCCGAACCCGACACGCTTTTCCTCTCCAGCTGGGTTTGTGAAGTCGCCCATGTCTGAGACTAAGCTCACGGGAGACACCTTTGAGCTGTACTGCGACGTGGTGGGCAGCCCCACGCCCGAGATCCAGTGGTGGTATGCCGAAGTCAACCGCGCCGATTCCTTCAAGCAGCTGTGGGACGGCGCCCGCAGGCGCCGGGTCTCCATCAACACGGCGTACGGCGCCAACGGGGTGAGTGTGCTCCGCGTCACCCGCCTCGTCCTGGAGGACTCGGGGACCTACGAGTGCCGGGCGAGCAACGACCCGCGCCGCAACGACCTGCGCCAAAACCCGGCCATCACCTGGATCCGCGCGCAGGCCACCATTTCCGTGCTGCAGAGTGAGTTCTCAATCCCCGCGGTCGATGTCCTGTAGAGACCCCCTCTGATATCCTGGTTCCCCTCCCACCCCGCCGTTCAGAACCAAAGAAATAAAACAAAACGCCAACCAGCCTTCATTCTGATTTAATTTTTGGATGTATTTATTTCCTTTTTATTGTCTGGTTACCTTAACTCCCTGCAGCCTTATACCATTTTGAATAACACCGACGTGTTCTCCTTCCCAAGCAGATCCCAGTATCCCAGTAACAAGTGGGAAATCCCTCCGTCTCCTCTTCCCAACCTCTCGGATAACCACAAACCCAGAAACCTCCCCTGCCCCTCCAGCTGCTCCCCTCCCCCTCACACCCTGGTCTGTGTCCTGAGTGTCCCGTCGCTCCTGTGTGGCTCCTGTTCCTCGTGTAGCCATCGTCTGTGCTCACTCTTTCGAACCTCATTCCTTTACTCCTTCACCTTATTTTCTGTTCTCTTTGTTGAAGTTGAGTGGGTTGTTTTATTTACTTCAAAGCCCGGTGTGTTCCATCCTGTCAGCGGTGCTGCGCTCCACAGTGCTTTGAAGTCGGCAGCGATCCTTTGTAAAGGACGTGCCGGGGGGAGATTCTGCCAGGACTTGAGGGGACTTAAGAAGAAGACACAAGGAAAGAGACCACCTGCTTTAATTTGGGTCTGTGTTTCAGGTGGCACGTGAAAGACCTGAGCTCTCTCGGCACTCTCTGCATTTCTATGCATCTCTCTTGCAGTTCAGGTGTATTTGAAAAAAAATATTGACCTTGGTGGGTCTTGACTGTGTCTGTTCATTTCTAGATTGGAGTGGGCTTGGCAGTTTCTTTCAAGACTGGACATTGAATTACCTTGTGCCTTCTTTAAAACTGACTTGCAAGACAGGAGACCAGTAATGACATTATATTGGTTACAATGTGTATGGATGCTTGTCCTCATAATGAAGATGAAATTAGCCCTTTCTCAGGCACATGACTGCTTCACATGCACAGCTTGAGAAGAGCAGCTGGACTGGCACTGACAATGGGCGCCTGATAGTGAAACCATGTGCCGGCTGTACGCCAGTGTTGCACCACCAGTAGATCTGTGTGTGGAGCCTGTCAGGAAACATGGTTCCTCGTTGCCACAGGCTTGTGGCTGATACCTCATCTGCTGGGGTGCAAAGCTGAGGTGGGCTAAAAGAATATGGTGACAATAACATGCTAGCTGAGAAACTGTAACCTCACACATCTGTTTATAATGACATTATACTCTTAAAATTTTCAGAAAAATGTGACTGAGTATATACACCATAAAATCTCAATTAGTTCACAGATTAACTGTTTTGAAGTGCCCAGAGCCTCTGAGGGGTTAAGAGAAATTGAGAGCTTGTTGTATTGTCCTCACTAGCAAGATGTCTGTTAAACCCCAGCAGTTTGCAAAACAAAGTGACTGGTCCTGCACAGCAGCTTTGTAACAAAGTACCTCGATAATCTAAAATAAAGCTTAAAACTGAGCGCTCATGCTGAATGCATTCATTATTTAGGCAGTGCTCACAATTAAATGCTTTCAGTTCGTTATTGAATTATAAATGTGGTGGCACAAGGTTTGTCCGAGCCTCTAGCAACAAAAGGAGGTGACTCAGTCTGACCAGAACTGAAGCCGTGTCGAAAGCTGCACTCTGCCAGGGCTTTGGAAAGCAACCCAATGGAATGTGTACCAATGAGGTCTCCTCATGTCTGTAGCTTTCACACCCATTCTAGGCCCCAGAGCCACTGCTGGCTTCTTATTTCACTCCTCGGCTGTTAATGACTTGGAAACGGCTCAGCCAGTTGATCAAGCTCAATTAAGACACTCGGAGAACTGAAGTGGAAACCAGACTCTCATGTGATTCTCCCACTCTCATGCAGGCCACTCAGTGAGTCGAGATTTTTTTTGCAGTTTCTTCCCATATCTTTTCCAATCGAGGGTTTATAGCAAACTAGGAAACCTGTTGGACTCTGGATCTCTTTGTGCTCTAAGGGCTCAGAAAAAATAAGGGTTTATTGCAAGTGAGGAATATCTGAGATTTTATGGCGCACATAAATATCAAAATAGTCTCAGATCTCTGCACAAATGGTATATCAATGTAACCGTAATTATATTCTGTCATTACTGAATGTCAATGTGCTCATTTTATATACATGTGATTCACATAAGCACATGTATATAACAGGCTATACATGGCAATGCTGTATCAGTGCATTCAGGTGGATGTATAGTTTGTTCTGTTGTCATGTATATTTGGTGGACTGTTGTTGTGTCAGTAGATTTGTCGATGGTGTGTTAGTTTGTGGTTGTGTGTGAAATGTAGTGTAGACTGCTTCCGACACCTGATCCAGCCGAGCTGAGCAGTGTTTCTTCCCCCTTTGTGATGCAGCAGAAGGTGCAGTCAAGCATGCGTTCGGAGAATCTGTTTACATGCACCTGTATCATCATTAGAGTGCACTGACCACAGGGCAGAAAAAAACGGACAGCTAACATAACATATGCACCCTCTTACATTTTAATGTTTTTGTTTTATAGTACAACTATTCAAATAAAACTGTGGCCACATGCACTTCAAAGAACAATATATACTGTTTTTGTCTTAGAGCTGTGACTACAACATGATAAAATGGCACTGGGTAACACAGCAACCTATAAATAAAGTTACAGATGTAATTATTTGCACTCTGTATCAGCACAAAATATGCATTGATTGGTTTAGAGAGATAAATATTTCTTTTAGATTTAGGTATTGATCCCAGTATTTGGTGGTAAATATTCTATTGAAGATTCTACTTTAACAGGTATCATAACTCTAACTGTCTGAAAGGAACTCTTTCATATACATAGAAAAAGCTGTGGAAAAGCATGTTTCTGGTGAAAGGACTCGAGTCCCCTGAAGTGAAATTGTAGAAAGTAGAAATGTTGCACCATAAGGAGCTGAGAGATCAACTGCACTTTTTAAAGTGTGATGCCTTTTGGGTGCCATCTGGGACAGTGAGCGAGCACAACATTTCTGACAGTGAGTCCGACCGAGGCGAACTGGGGTTAATGTCTCTACAGAATGGAATTCAACATGATGCGCTGCTGCCTAAAATAAGAAAGGCAGAGCACAGCCATTTCTTTGTTTCCTGAGCAGTAGTCGGTTGGTGTCTGTGTGCTTCGTTTCAGGGTGCTTTTTCTCCAAGGTGGGACGGATGAAATCTGGTTGCATTTTGAGTGGTGTTCAACACTCACTCTTTCGTGTGCCTTCATACAGTATATGAAGAAAAATAATAAGTTGATCTCTGTACTGATGTGTCATTGAGTCATTGATATTTGTACTCTTGTCTTCATGAGCTGCAATTAATAGCTAATAAATTATTTTCCTATGCATAATTTCTAAAAGCTTTCTTACTGAAAGACACAAAGGTAAGTATACATTTGATGCAAGGCTACACACAAAGCTGTATGAGGCTAGATACCCACTTCTGTGAACATCCAGTAACGTGTTACAGTTTTAGTAACCACTTGTGGCTCTATTATTACAAAACAGAGATGATACATGTTTAGCTTAAAGGACTGAGGAAGGAAAACCGAAGCCAGAATATAAAGAATCCATGAGTGACTTTTTTCACTCCTTGGTAAAACATCACAAGAGTTTCCAACAGGTTGCATCACTGCTTCACAGGGGTTCTGCTTGCCTGTGGCACCAGACATCCACAGGTGCCCCATTAATCCCTTCCTTGGCATAGATACGACCAGCTTTTTCTTCTGCTTCTGCTTCTGCAGGATCTCAACAAATAGCTTGTCAAAGAAATGTTTTCCTGTGGTTTGTAGTAAGCCAGAGTGCCTTTGTGCTGCAATATGTGCATTTGTGTACGTATGTGCAGACGTACTGTATGTGTTTTTTCATTTCAAGGTTCAATTGTAAACAAGTAATGCTGTTTTACCTGAAAAACATAGGTGCCAAAATTATTGGGTGCCAATAATTGTTTCTTTTATTCTGGGGAAAATAATTTATAATGTAATAGTTTTTTGTCTTGGTTGATTTAATTGAATCATTAATTGAGGATAATTAATTCCTTATGTTGGAAATATATTTCAGTGCTTAATGAACTCAGTATTTGTTTTATACTTCTTTTCTTCTTCATATTTATCAAGGGGTGGTAATAGTTGTCCACCGTATGTGTGCATGCTAATGTGAATGTGTGTGTTTGTGTATGTACATGTGTGTGCACATGTGTACAGTATGTGGCCATTTGTGTGTGTAAGTGTGTGCATATGTTTGTGTTTATGTGGGCATTTGTATGTGTATGCATGTGTAGGTATGTTTGCATATGTTCATTTGCATGTGTATTGGCGTGTATGTATGTGTTTGTGTGTACATGTGCATGTGTGTGCACATGTGTGTATGTGTGTGTACAGTACGTGTATATTTGTACATTTTTGCACATGTATGTGTCAATGTTTGCATGTGTGCATTTGTATGTGTGTGTGTATGCGCCTTTGTGCTTTTGTGTGTATACGTGTGTGTTTGCATGTGTGCGTTTGTGTAGATATGCATGCATATGTGTGCATGTCTATGCATTTGTATATGTGTGTGTGTTTGTGGTAATTTTGGCATGTGTGTGCATTTGTGTGTATGTGCGTATGTACAGTATGTGTATGTATGTTTGCATGTGTGCATTTGTATGTGTATACATGTATATTTGTGTGTTTGCATGTGTGTGTGTGTATACATACATGCATGTGTGTGCACTCTGTCTTTGTGCATTGGTGTAAATGTGTGTGTATGTATATATGCCTGTGTATGAGTGCATGTATATGTGCATGTGTGGATGCGCATGTAGATGTTCGTATGTACATGTGTATGTGCGCATTTGTGTATATGCGCATGTATATATGCATCTGTGTGTTTGTGTGTATGTGCCTGCGTGTCTACATGTATGTGTGTGTATGTATGTTTGCGTGTGCATTTGTGTGTGCATATGTATGTGCATGTGTGTGAGTGCGT